AAATTGCCTTCCTGTAACTCCCCCCTCCTGCCCCCAGCCCTTTTCTATTTTCTACTGTGAGCTATCCAGGAGCTGCCTGCAGCTGCCTGCTCTCACTCCCGGCTAAACCTAAATCTCGTCCCTCACCTCTCTCTGCCTGGAATCTCCACCCCAGACACCCACAGGGCCTTCACCTACCCTCCCTGGGGCCTTTGCGCATGTGTCCCCTTCCCTGCTTTCTTTTCTCCGTAGTGCTATGTCTGTATGTTGTGTATTGTCTGTCCCACCTAGAACAGAACTTCCATGAGGGCAGAGATCTTAGTCTCTTGTGTTTACTGCTGCTTCCCTAATGCCTAGAACAATACTTGGCACAGAATAGAAACAAAAACTTGTTGAATTAAAGAATGGACAGTGGTTGCTTCCTGTAAACATTCTACATTCTGTCTGCATCTTGTCCATGTCACCCCAGAGCTCAGCGCCACACTCCCGGGCCCCCTGCCTGTGGGCTCCTATGTGTCCCTGATAGCCCCTCTTGCCCTCATCCATAGGAGGAAACTGGCTGCCAGGCTCCAGGAAGCGGAAGAGACAGCTGAAGCTGCCCAGGCCCGGGCTGCCTCCCTTGAAAAAAATAAACAGAGACTCCAGGCAGAAGTCGAGGACCTCACCATTGACTTGGAAAAGGTCAGAAGGTCAAAGGCTCAAAGGCTGCCTATTTGCTAGGTCAAAGGGGCCACAGAGAGCTGGATGAGATGGTCACATGTCTGGGGTGAACAGGAAGAAACAGTGGCTTATGAGGATGAAGCACAGAATCTATATACAGGCCCACTGAAAACAGGCTCCTGCTTGAATATGTGTTTATATATACTCATAATTCTAGATCTGAACACTCTACAAGCCACTATTTAAATAGACCCATGACGAGGATAAAACTTAGTCCCAGGAATCCATGTAACATATTATCCCTGTTCCCTATTCTCTCATAAAAACTATGTCCCACAGAGTTTGTGTGGCTAAATATTCCTCTTTGCATTGTTGGGGTTCAGGCTGATTTGCCAGTCTTCAGCCGAATTAAATAAGATCCACTGCCTTTCCATATCAACCTGGTCTTGGTCTAGACAGGACCATTGCTTCATGCCAACAGTGAAGGGCAGAAGGTCACATGCATGGGATAGGCTTCAGAAAATCGTCCTAAAACCCAAAGAGGTTTTGCTCCTCCCAAATTAGGAAACGACACAGAAATTTACAAAACCTAGTATTGCACAGCAGCAAATATATAGTTACCAGAGAGTTATGAAAAAGATGAAAAATCTATGAAAAAATAATGCCTAAGAATAATCAGCTTTGATTCACAGAAAAATAATACCAAACCCATCTCTGAGTTGGACAATGGATGTATAATGTATATTAGTACATTATAGAGAAATACATTATGGGGAATTGGGTGAATGTCATAAATCTGGGAAGGATGTTGTGGCCCAGATTCCTCTTTTTACACTTGAGAAAATTCTAGCCTAGGAAGGTAAGGCAGACTGCCCAAGGTCACCCATCTAGTAGCAGAAGTTTTAGAACTAGAATGTAGCTCTTTCTGACTCCCTAAGCCTGTGCTTGTACCATAAACATTGAATTATATCCCAATCCCCAAGAAGTCTGTGGTCATCAGAGTCACTGGGGAAGGAGAGGAAAGGAAGGGAGGGGAGCAGCAGGAGGGGTAAGGGGCAGGAAAGTCAGACCCTCAGAGACCATCCCCACCTCTCCCTAGGCCAATGCTGCAGCTGCCGCCCTGGACAAGAAGCAACGGGTCTTTGACAAGATGCTGGCTGAGTGGCAGCAGAAGTGTGAGGAGCTGCAGGTGGAGGTGGACAGTTCACAGAAGGAGTGCCGCATGTACATGACAGAGAGCTTCAAGATCAAGACCGCCTACGAGGAGTCCCTGGAGCACCTTGAGTCAGTGAAGAAGGAGAACAAGACCCTGCAGGGTGAGTCAAGGGCAGACAGGTGGGCCTGCAGGGACAAAGACACAGCCAGAGCCCTCTTTCTCCCAGGCACATCATGGGTTTAAGCATCTGGTACACAGTAGGTGCACAATAAATGTTTGTTGACTGGCTGGCAAGAGTTTTGTAGAAGCACTCGAGCACTCAGTAATATAACTTCAGGCAAGTGAATTACTTTAACTATCTGTGCCTCAATTTTCTCACCTATTAGATAGGAAAATAATACTGCCTTCCTTGTAAGGTTGTTGTGCCAATGAAATACCAAAAAAAAAAATGTGTCAAGTCTTCACTTAGTAGAATAGCTGGCACAAATAAAGGCTCAATAGATTTTATTTTAGCCCTTACACCTGTCATATGTCAGTAATATACACATGTATACATATTTCTTACATATAAGAGTTTCGGGCTAGAATTTGAGGCCTGGGGGGTGTTGTGGGGGGAGTGTCTCCAGAAAGGGATGCCTTGTATATAGAACTAACAGCCCCTAAAGTTCTGGGCACTGGCCCTAAAGCTACTCTGTGCTTGCTTATTCTTCTCTGGGCTTCAGACCCTCATCTAGGGTGTCCCAAAATTCACGCAAGATTTGCAATTCAATTCAATTGCAAATCTTGTGTGAATTTTGGGACACCCTATATAAAAAGAGGAGCTTGGATCCACTCAAGCCCTGATGCCCCACGAGTCTATGACTTGGAGTGTATTGCTTCTCTTTTGATACAATGAGGCTAGGAGTGCCTGCTTCTGACCTCAGTGGAGAAATATCTGTGCCACATGCCATGATCCTGGGAAGCTGGTAGTCCTCATGAGCCTTATTAACAAGAATATTCTTTTTTTCAGAGGAGATAAAGGAACTGATTGATCAGTTGGGCGAGGGAGGACGGAGTGTGCATGAGCTGCAGAAGTTGAAGAAAAAATTAGAGATTGAGAAGGATGAACTCCAAGTGGCCCTAGAGGAAGCTGAGTCTTCCCTGGAGGTAACCTCATGGCTGTCTCTTTGCGGGTGGAACACTTGGCCAGGGTCCACAAACCTGCTTAGCCAGAAAGGCTGACATTTACATTCCTGGCAGGTTGAAGAGAGCAAGGTGATTCGAATTCAGCTGGAACTGGCCCAGGTTAAGGCTGACATCGACCGGAGAATTCATGAGAAAGAGGAAGAATTTGAAGCTACGAGGTAGGGGGCTGACAGGATGGGAGGCTGACTTGGATAGCATGATGGAGCAGAGTCCAGAAACCTGGGTCTCTGCCACTTACTAGTCATGTGATCTTGGGCAAATAAGATGACCCTCTCTGAACCTCAGTTTCCACATCTGTTAAATGGTAATAATGGTAGTACTTTATACAGATGGGGTACTCTGTGGTTAACAAACACTTTGAAATGTCTTACTTCAATGATTCATCACAAAACCCCATGAGATAATAATCCAATTCAAAAATGGACAAAAGACATGAATGGACATTTCTCCAAAGAAGATATACAAATGGCCAATAAACACATGAAAAGATGCTCAATGTCACTATTAGGGAAGTGCAAATCAAAACTACAATTAGATACTACCTCACACCCAATACAAGGGCAACTATAAAAAAAACAAACAGAAAATAGCAAGTGTTGATGATGATGTAGAGAAATTGAAACCCTTTTACACTGTTGTGGGAATGTAAATGGTACAGCTGCTGTGGAAAACAGTATAGAGATTCCTCAAAAAATTTTAAATAGAATTTATATGATCTAGCATTTTCACTTCTGGATATATATATACCCAAAAGAATTTGAAGCAGGGTCTAAAATAGATAATTGTATATCTGTCTTCATAGCAGCATTATTATTAATAGCTAAAACATGGAAATAATCCAAATGTCCATTGACAAATGGATAAACAAAATATGATATACACATACAATGGAAAATTATTTAACCTTAAAAAGGAAGGGAATTCTGACACATAATAAAACATAGATAAACCTTGAGGACATTATGCTAAGTGAAATAAGCCAGTTATAACAGGACAAATATTGTATGATTCTACTTCTATGAAGTACTTAGAGTACTCAAAATTATAGAGACAGAAAGTAGAACGGTATTTGCAAGGGGCTATGGGGAAGGAAGAAATGGGGGTTATCATTTAATGCAACGGTTCTCAACCTGTGGGTCGCACCATCGGAAAACACATATAGCATATCAGATATTTAATTACGATTCATAATAGTAGCAAAATTACAGTTATGAAGTAGCAACGAAAATAAATTTATGGTTGGGGGTCACCACAACATGAGGAACTGTATTAAAGGGTCGCGGCATTAGGAAGGTTGAGAACCACTGAAATGGGTATAGAGATTTTTTTATAAGATAAAAAGAGTTATGGAGATAGATGGTAGCACAACATCATGAATGTATTTAATAACACTGAACTATATGCTTAAAAATGGTTAGGTAGTAAATTTCATTTTATGTATATTTTGCCACAATAAAGAATTAGAAAAAACTACCTGTGAGATGGATGCAATTCTCCAACTAACAGATGAGAAGATGACAGCTTTCTAATCACCTGAGATGTGGAAAAGATTAAATTAAATTATAGATATGAAAGCATGTTGTGAAGAGAAGCCCAATGACTCTATAGCCAGTAGGCTAAACCTGACCCTCACCCTAAATTTCTAGCTATGCCACTGTGTGTGTGTGTGTGTGTGTGTGTGTGTGTGTGTGTAAAATCTAAAATGGAGTGTGTGTGTGTGTGTGTGTGTGTGTATGCAACAGCTTTATTAAGGTATAATTCAGATACCATACAATTTACCCATGTTAAGGGGAAAATTCAATGGTTTTTAGTTGTGCAACTATCACTACAATTTAAGAACATTTTCATCACACCCCCAAAGAAACACCATTTACTTTAGTAGGCAAACCCCATTTCTCCCCCACCACCACCACCAGCCCCAGCCTTAGGCAACAACTAATCTACTTTCTGGTTTTTTGAATTTGCCTATTCTGAACATTTCATATAAATGGAATCATAAAATATGTGGTTGTTTGTGACTAGATTGCATTTAATCCCACCTTAACAATATTAAATCCATAAACATAAATATTTTTCCATTTATTTAGATCTTCTTTAATTTTTTCAATGTTTTTGCTTGTATTTATTTTTAACCCAAAATGAGTTCCAATTTTGTTCGCTTTTGAGAATGTCATGATATCCTTGCCCATATCTGCAAATTGAATACACCTCAAAGTACTGCAAATCCAGCAACATGCCTGCACATAGTGAGTGTTCAGGGGTGAAGCAGAGGTGAGCATAATGTGGACAAGATCTTTACATGCTAATCATTTATTTGCCTCAATGAAACAATTATTTTTTTAACATTTAAATTAACTCCTCTGGTCCCCTCCTATAAAAGGAGATTAATACAGTTTATATGAGGGCTTTTTGGAAATGTTTATGTTAATTACAACATAATTAATATATATATTAAGAACAATCAATGAATTGTTTTGAAGATAAATATATATCTAACTTGTATAGTAAAAATTCCTATTTTGTAATAAATAAAACTGGACCTCAGCATCTAGGTTTGAATGCAACTCATTGTGGGCTAAATGGATGACCTTTGGCATGTTTTCCATCATCCTGGAACCTCAGTTTTCTTGCAGGACTGTTTTTATGTTAAATGAATCGATATCACAAAAGACATGTGATAAACTTTCACCTTCCAACATGCTATTCTCATGTTGATGTTCAGAAGTCTCTTATCTAGGTTTAGCATAGACTGAATGTGCTTGTCCAGTACGTCAAGGCCTTCTCTGCTTGGACTTGTAGGAAGAACCACCAGCGGGCCATTGAGTCTTTGCAGACCAGCCTGGATGCAGAAGCCAAGGGCCGGGCAGAGGCACTTCGCCTGAAGAAGAAGATGGAGACTGACCTGAATGAAATGGAAATCCAGCTGGACCATGCCAACAAGAACAACAGCGAACTTGTGAAGACACTGAAAAGGCTACAACAGCAACTCAAGGTAGTGACCTGGGAGGGGAAAGAACTAATCACAAAGCAAGCCAACCCCAAGCCTACAGGCTTATAGAAAGCTAACTTCATGCATGTCTTCAGCTAGGATAAAGGCAAGAGAGTGAGAACATGGGGTGGCTGGCATTCCAGGGAGCAGGAGACTTGGAGACTATAAATGAGAGGTCCCGCCCAGCTGGTATGGCTCCGTAGATCGAGCATCGGCCTGCGGACTGAAGAGTCCCAGGTTTGATTTCGGGTCAGGGCACATGCCCTGGTTGAGGGCTCGATCCCCAGGCAGACAATCAATGATTCTTTCTCATCATTGATGTTTCTATTTCTCTCCCCCTCTTCCTTCCTCTCTGAAATTATTAAAATAAATAAATAAGAGATCCCAACCACCATAGTCCATATCCAGGACCACTGGAATAAGAGGGGAAAGGAGAGAAACAGGAAGTTGAACCTGTCTTAATTTTTAAAATCATTTTTTACTTATTATAAATGATTTCAGACATAGAAAAATAAATATAAACACCCATGTACCCACCACTCACTCACCTTAAGAAATAAACACAAATAGAGGTGAAGTCCTCCTTTATCACTCTTCATCATCAGGTTGGTCTTTAAAGCATGTATAGCTGGATCCATGCATCCAACATGTGTTTATTGGAGACCTGCTCTGTCCAGGCTCTGTATTAAGTGCTAGGGGTAGGAGAATGGATGAAACAACAAATATCTCTGCAGGTAGACAATAAGCAACAAATAAATAAAACTGTAGCATAAAAAAATGGTAAGTGCTACGGAGAAATAACAAGACAGGGGAAGAGAGATGGGGATTAGCCAGTTGAGGTGTAACTGTCAAAGCTCATTGAGGAAGGACTCTTGAGAGGCCCTGCTGTAAACACCAGGCTGTGACTCCCTGAGGGCAGGTCTATGCCTCACACTCTTCCTCTGTGGCCTCCATTTCCCCATTTCCACCCCAGCTCCCTCCTGAGCCAGGTCTGTGAAGATCAGAGCACCCTTAGTCCTGGCCAGCCCAAAGAGATGAGCTCAGATTGTGTCTTCTTGTCCCCCAGGATCTGCAGGTCCAGATGGACGAGGATGCCAGGCAGCACGAGGAGCTACGGGAGCAGTACAACCTGCAGGAGAGGCGCCTGAGCCTGCTGCAAACGGAGCTAGAGGAGGTGCGCTCAGCCCTGGAGGGCAGTGAGCGCTCCCGCAAGCTGCTGGAACAAGAGGTGGTGGAGATCACAGAGCGACACAATGAGGTCAACGTCCAGGTAGGATGGTGGCTCCCTGGGAAGTGCCATGGAAACTCATACTCAGGATGCCAGGGCCAGCCCAGACCTGTGAGCTCACTCAGAATTCAGAGGCAGCTAATGTCCTCATTCCTCAAGTCCTCGAAACTCACCAGCAGAACTTTGTTGTTGTTGTTGTTATGGTAAAAAATAGTAATAATAACATAAAATGCACCATCTTAGCCATGTTCTGTGCACAGCACAGTGTGTTAACTATATGTACACTGCTGTGTACAGCTTTTAAAGACAGGCTCCCAGAGACTCCCCTGGAGATTCCGATCCAGTGGGTCCATGGTAGAATCCCAGAAATCTAAACTTTTAGAAACTCTTCAGAAGAGTTTAAGTGTTAAGCCAATTTTAAACAAGTGTAGCTGAGGCTAGAACTTCAGAACTGGGAGTGATCTAGAATATTCCAAAGTCTGACTTTCATTTTATAAATGAAGAAAAAAATGGGCCAAAGAGTTGAGTGGTTTATCCATGGTCAACATTGGGAAGCCCTGTCTGCTACTAATGGTAACACCAGTACTGCTTACTGTTCACAGTGCAGTCCTTTACTGGCATGGCTTAATACTTACTCATCATCTCATGTGAATTTACCAAATGAAAAAATGTACATGGGACATATAGGGTTATCCCATTTAGAGGCTGGAAGACCAAAGCCTAGAGGTAAGGAATTTATCCATGTAAGTGGAAGTACCCAACCTTGAACTGGGTTTTCCAAGCTCTGAGTTCAGAATTTTTCTAGAGCTGCCATCCTCCTCAGGCCTAATGATGTTATTCCTGGGCTCCTCATGATGCAAATTCTGCTCTAAAATCCAGAGAAGAATACAGAGGAAAGACCCTCACTCCGAGCAGGGTCCTAGAGCCATTTCCTGTTAGGGTGTCTGACAAGCGTGTCTGGGAGAGGGTCATTTTCTTTCCTGGAAACAAAAGGGCTGTGCAGACCCCTGTCTCACAGCAATTCTTTCCTCCTCCAGAACCAAAGCCTCCTGGTGGTCAAGCGCAAGTTGGAATCAGATGTCCAGCGCATCTCCAATGAGCACGAGGAGCTCATCAGCGAGTTCCGCTCAGCTGATGAGAGAGCCAAGAAAGCCATGACTGATGTAAGTATGTGCACTACCTGCTGCTGGTGGGAGGGGAACAGGGCACCCCAGGCCAGGCCACCTGCTGAGGACCTGGCTACCCTAGGCAGGGAAGGCCACCACCTCTCCTTGAGTCACTATGGAGTCCTGGCACCCTGCCAGAGGGATATGGTCCCGGCTCTGAGGAGACCAGAGTCTGGAGGAATACTTACAAGCTACACATGATCATGTGAGAGATTAGAGAGTGCAGCCTGGGGACACAGACCAAAGGAGCCATCGATGTGGACTCATCTTGGCAGCCTTTTTGGCAAAGAGGAACATCAAACCATCCTTAAAGGGAGGGTTAGTGGAAGGAAAATGGGTGCTGTGACCAGAGGCTCAGGGGTGGATGTTGGCAAGATGTGCTGCCAAGTATTTTTATCCCAGTATCCCTTTGGGTGCTCACATGGACCTTGAGTGTAGATACTATGTATCCCCCTCTAGGGCTGAGAAAATACAGATTTTCTTTTCTCACACTTAATTGAAATGCCAGGAGCTCAGGAACATGTTGGTCTAATTTGGTGGTATGTCTCAAGACATAGCACACAGTAGGTCCTCCATGAATATTTGTGTAATTAATGTAAGAAGACTGGGTAAAACGACTTACCAAATGGGTACAGAACTCCACCTTCCTACTCTAGATCTGTGATTTTCCCACCCTCTGTGCTATGCCCCTCTTGGATGATACAGCAAAGAGTTTGGCTGGAGAGCACCAGGCTGGTGGAGTCCACGGGATTGGAAGGCCTGGCTATGAGTGGATGACCCTGCCTCCTCCCCTTGCACTTGGAAGGACATGGGAGCCTGGAGCCCCCTTGCATCAAACCCCAGCAGTGTGTTAGTGAGGTTCCTCAGGTCAACCACTTGGCTTTCGAGAGACTGGGAGACAAGGTTCCTCACCTCTCAAAGGCACTATGAGCCTGGATGCAGACCCAGCTCCAGCTCGTGCTCTTCTCCTGGTCTCCCACAGGCTGCCCGCATGGCAGAAGAGCTCCGGCAAGAGCAGGACCACTGCATGCACCTGGAGAAGATCAAGAAGAACTATGAGATCACCATCAAAGACTTGCAAGCCAAGATGGAGGAAGCTGAGCAGCTGGCTCTGAAAGGAGGAAAGCGCACAATCATGAAGCTGGAAACCAGGGTGAGGGCAACACTGATCTGGGCTAAGAGACAAATATGACCAGGCTGGAGTAGGGAGGAGGTCTTTTCCCAAAAAACATGCCCAGCATTTGATGAGGTTATTGCAGAGCTGGGAAAGAAAAGGAAATTGAGGCAACAGCTCTAATTTCTTTATACAGAGGTCTCCTCTCCTCCTCCTCTCCCTGGCATCTTCCCCCAGAATTTCCTTAGCCCCCAAGCAGAGCAGTTTCCCATATACTCGTCCTCTTTGTTCCCAGTCTCGGCTTCCAACGTTATTCCTCTCTTACTGCTTACCTAAAATAAGCCTTTACTTCCTGGAATGTTGAAGCTGGAAGGGCCCAGGGGGTTTGGTCACCTTTTCTGACCCCTGCCTCTCCCATTTCTCAGAGGAGGAAACTTGAGGCTCAGGGAAAGTAACCAATTTACAAAGGGCCTGACCCCTCCAGTCCAGGGCTCACCTAAGGAAGTGGACACTGTAGCCATGACATCCCTGTCCAAGGTCACTGAGCTCTGAAGTTCAAAAACATACACTTCCTCAGCCACATTCCTCTCCTCCTTCCTCAGATCAAGGAACTAGAGACGGAACTGGATGGCGAGCAGAAGCGGCATGTGGAGACAGTCAAGACTCTACGGAAGAATGAGCGTCGCCTCAAAGAGCTGGTCTTCCAGACAGAGGAGGACCACAAGACCAATCAGCGCATGCAGGAGCTGGTGGAGAAGCTACAGAACAAGATGAAGGTCTACAAGCGGCAGATTGAAGAGGCGGTAGGTGCTCACCACACATCCCTAATTCTCCCTTTCTTCCCAGCCCAGGTCTCAAGCCTTGATTAGAATTAACCACAGGAAAGGAATAAAGTATTGGCCAAAAGATGACTCCCATGAGTCTCATGTCTATGGCACTTCATCCCCACTGTCATGTGAGAAGTGGACTGGACACTACACACTGGCAATAAGAATATGTAAAAAACAAACTTGTCCTCTAAGAACATCTATGTTGGTTGAAGTACCCTCTGAAGGGTGTGCTCTAAAATCAGGGAAGGTCTTAGCTTCCTTTGTCCTTCTTCTACTGACCCTGTGGCCTCTGCCAGGATAACCTCTCTTTCCTGGTCATAGTGTTAAATACAAGGACTTACCTTTATTTGATTCTCCTGATGCAAGGCAGGAAATCTGGTATTTTTAGTCCATTTCACAAGTGAGTAAACAGCCCAGTGTGGGGTATTTATGTTAAAGTCAAAGTCAAATGGTTGGCAAATAGTGGCTTCAAGTCTCAATCCTACACCACATGTCCACTTACCACCATCATCCGAGACATAGATATTTGACTCTGCTATCATTTGCTGCCAGTTCTGGGGCCACCATGTTGAACCTATCAGCCACTGACCTACTCAAAGCCCTTCTCCAAAGGCTCAATAGAGGCCAGGCATACAGTAAATATGGTCTAAATAAAACAACTACGTCTTTACTGGGAAGACAAGGGGATGGGAAATGTGTGGTGGGGGTTAGGGGAAGAACTAAATCCACAACTTCCAAGTGGGGTCCCAATAACTAATGCCTAAAACCACAAATTATAAAAGCAGCAATAGAGCACATTTTATTTAGAAATATGGATGTCAAGGCCAAAAAGAATTATCTAAAAGTGTAATGATGAGACAGTTGTCCGTGGTAAGCTGGAGGATGACCCTGACCCAGGACTGCTGTTTTGTAAAAGCCTTATTAGAACAATTACACTCTTAAGATGACAATGCAGAACAGGTAACAAACAGAACACATTTAACCAGAACAAGCCAGGTTCACATCCCACTTTCCACTGTGTCTTTGCTGCAGGAGGAGCAGGCCAACCAGACCTTTGCTCGCTACAGAAAAACAGTGCATGAGCTGGATGATGCTGAGGAGCGGGCCGGTATGGCGGAGACTGCTCTGAACAAGCTGCGCACCAGACACCGTGTAGCCGGCAAAGGCATCACCTCCGTTGAGATCATCCAGGTGTCCAAGACAGGCTCCTCCAAAACCCTTTCTGAGGAGTGATGTTCTCCATGTCCCAGTTCACAGCCGGTGGGTGTAGATACCACTCTCGACAGCCATGCTCCAAGTTCACCTTTCCTGCTTCTGTCCCTGCTTTGCTTTTTCAGACTTCTATGTTTCCTGGCTTCCAGGCTGTCATGCCCTGACCTCACACAATGAGAACCCCAAAGCTTCCCCTGTCCCTTCAGCTGCAACACACACTCTCTCTCGAATCTGAAAGCTCTCAGGTGTGGTGCTATTTACCTGTATCACAGGTGCTGGTAGTCAGGATGTGTCCCCATCTGAGTGAAAGCTCATTGAAAGCAGGTCCATGTCCGATGCCACTTAATTCTAAGCCTGGAAAATAAGTGCTGAGTAAAAGCTTGTTTTCATTGGACAACCATAGGGGCAATTGCAAGCTTATAGGCAACGTGTGTTCATCTTTCACATCCCCCACAGTATCATTATTCTTGACGATCTCATCAAACTGGTTGAATTTCGATATCTAGCATTAAGGAAATAATAATCAGTGCAGTACCATTTCTTGAGCCTGAGTGCAGGTGGAATTTTAGAGGGACATTTTAAAATAGCCCTTTCTTATTTTTCTTAATTCAAAACCAATTAAAAAGAATACAGGAGACAAATTTGTAAAAGCTTTATTATGCTATGGTTCTACATTGAGAATTTAATGGGTATCCATCACGGGCATCCTTATACTTCACCCCAAAATTAAAGTTACCTACAGAACTGGGGAGCAGCCCCTATTCCAAAGGGAGGAATGACTAGAACTCATCAATCGTGCAGGTAGATCCAAAAGGAGATACCAGATGGGTTTCCTGCACCATCCAGACCCAGGAGGCATTTTAGCTCCTTCCCACCTGATATGTGTTAGCCTCCAGAATTAGACACCTCGTAAAGCATATCCCCTGCCTTGGCTTGGTGACTGTTTATTCCTGGGGTCTGCTGGCCCTAGTCCGATTGGTCTCTCTCCACATCACTGTGCCAACAGCATGCAGAGGTTAGAAGGCTGGGAGCCCTGTTATCCATGTCTTGATCCATCCTCACTCTCTTATCCCATTTTCCCTGTTGGTCATAGGAGCAGATATGCCATCTGTAGCCATGAGATGTCTTAAGCAAACTAGCTCATGAGTCAACACTGAGTCAAAACCCCACAGAGTTTAGTTTTCCAAATCGCATTATATTAAGTCCCACAATATCTATCAAGCTCTGAATATGGGCTAGGCCTGTACTATGGAATACAGAGATGAGTAGGAAAGACCATCCTCCCTTGTGGAGCTCAGAATCCAGTGGAGAGGTAGACACACAGATCAATTAACACAAGGCTGTGAGCAAATAATCTGTATGTGGTGTTTGCCTCTCCTGGGAAGGGATCACAGGGAATGAGTGACTGATTTAACCTGGAGTGGCTGGGTGGAACAGCTCCACACTGCATGTAACCTGTACAAGAATCTAGAGCAGTGCCACTCAAGGGTGGTGCCGGTTTACCTTCCAAAATAACAGAAGTACAGAAACTAAAAGGACGTTTTTAGAAATTTTTATAGCAATTGAGACTGTATGACATCCATGGACATTATTGGTGTATTTTCTAAAAGTATGCTTCTGCTATTAAAATAAATGAAAATGAAAAAAACATTTAATAAAAATTAAAAAGAATAAACTGATCCCACACCAGGTAGAGAAGAAAAGAAGGGAACTCCAGATAGAAGGTCCAACACATATGAAAGTGCAGAGGTGGGATTCACACAAGGGTGCATCATGACTGGAGAAGAAGGGCTCATGATGAGGCAAGAGTGATGGACAGGGAGGGAGATGAAGCTAGCAGGATAGGCATGCGTGAGGCTGTGAAAGGCCCTGTTGGGTGCAAGTATCCCACAATCTCCATAAGGAAATCTTGTTAATTTTAAAAATCAATTTGTGGAATGTAATGAGCAGTAGCTTTTCTTTCTTGGGAAGACACAACACAACAGAAAAACAAGCCCCTTGGCACCTCATGGGACAACACAGGCAAGCTCATGGGGAGCATTGTATCTCAGGGAACCACACTCTGGTCCTCTCAATGGCCTGTGTGGAGTTCAGGCCTGCTTGAGCATGCTAAGCCCAAGGAAGGTTTATCTAAACCACCACAACCTTACACAGAATGAGCCAGATATGACCCAATGGTGTCCATTATGAGGGAGGAAGCCTGTGTAGAACCAGCCCAGGCATTTTTCTAGCAAGAAGGGGCAAAGATGTCAGAACTTCCAGCTCTGGCCCACAAGGATTTTCTCAACCTCTCTCTCGTTTGTCCTCTAGGGTGACACAGATCTCAACAGCAGACCATTGAGAGGAAAAATATATGAAAATGGAAAACTGGGTCTTCCTGAGAATATTTGCTATGCAAAGGAAAGTGCAAGCCAGAGACAGGTGCTAAAGAATAAAGATCGCTGTGGAGGGAAGTGGGTTTAGGATACAAATACCCAATAATTAGAGGAATTAAAATTAGCATGGCTTCCCTAAGACTGTATCAAGCTGTGTAAGCACTTGGAAAAAAAATAGCAGTGGGTCTGTTTCAGTTGAGATCCTACATATTCATGTCAAGGATGGAATATGTACAGTCTGTGTGACCTGGCTGTTCTCTAGAAATAATTCCTCACATGGACAATTTTAATGACTTGTCCCAATGCAGCTTAAATAAAAGAAATATGAAAAACAGACTGACTGGAGGTTGTTTTTAAGTGAAGAATTTTTATTTTTCTACGACTTCCAAATCCAAAGGCAATTTTTACAATACATCAGAGTTCTGTTGTGTCACTATATCCTAATTCACAGGCTTGTTTCTATTGAAACCATGAAAACTATGAAGTCTTAGTGATGTTCTTTGCAAATTTTGAGAGGGTAGTCTCAGAGATATGAAGACAATCTAGGTTTCATAAAGTTCAGGAAGGTATGGAATCCACTGGAGGGATGGTAAGATCCATCTTGGCTGATACATGAGGCTTCCAAATGATCCACCTCCACATCTTCTAGAATGTGTTCAGACACAGGTAGGTCAGCTCCATAAGGGCAGATTGTTTTGTTTTACTCACTGCTACATTCCTCAGCAACTAGAGAGTATCAGGCCTAAAATAAACACACTGTGACTGAATGATAGAGAACGAGTGGCCTCCCAAGGTAGTCCTTCCAGACATTACCAGAAAGTTCTTCCTTAAATCAAGCTGAGATCCACCCTGTGGCAGTATCCCCTTGCTAACCCTGGTTTTGATACCCAGGACCCTGCAGAACAACCTTAATGGAAGACAGTTCTCCAGGTTTTCTCTTCTCCAGGCTGAATATTCCTGGATCCTTCAACCATTCCAAGTATGACAGGGTTTCTGCTGTCACCTTCTAACTCTACTCAATCCTGTTCCTCTCCTCACTTTCCTAGTCTCCAGAGTGCAGGGGTAGCAGGGGCAACACTATGAGGGCTCCTTGCCAGTTCACAGCCCCTAGAACACACCTTTCCTCAGATCTCTGGAAATGGTGTCTTCCCGTTAACTATTAGCAGTCTGACAACTCTCCAATTAACTGGCAGACAGAAATCATTATTTAAGCTGATAGAAGAAGGGATAGTAATATTCCATTGGTAGTTCCCTCTCCATCTTCACATAGGCCCATATCACCCTTGTAATGGTTCTAAACGTGGTGCTCTCAAGCTGTTCCAGAGGGAACCAGGTTTGATTCCTTCTGTGAAAATGGACCAAGTGGGAAGACACTGCCCTCTGGTGGTAGAGTCTCCAAATGCTGTGTGTGAATTTCCTGTGTGTGAACACCAACTCAGAATCTTAGAATTATAGAATTCTTGGGTTCAAAGGGACATTCAGATGTCCAATCCAACTCTCAAGCAGTTGGAGATTCCCCTCCATAACATCTCTGAAAAAAATGGTTATCCAATTTTTACCTGAATCCTTCAAGCCAAAAAAAGTCAGCCAATTGCAGTTTTGACTGATAAGCATGCTTCAAAAGTCCCACCTACTCTTAAACCAGAATATGTTTCCTTCTATTTTGCCATTATTTTGATTTAGTATTCACCAGCAGTATGACTCTGGGCAATTTAACCTAGCTCACCTCCTGTTTTCTCAACTATTAAATGGGGAATAATAACAGCATCTGTCTCATAGGAATATGAAGTTTAAACAAGATAACTTGGCATAGAGCCTATTATGTTTGACACTTGGACTTTTGCCAAGTTGTCTTCTAGCTTTCCAAAGGACTTCAACACTTGACCTTCCAAGGGAGGCTTGGCTGGGCTGACAGCAGCAGGCCTCTAGCTGGAAAAATGCAAGGGGCATTCCATGAGGTTTTAAGACTTCTTCATTGTTTCCTGGAGGATGGTCTACTCTGAAGTACAAACACACACACACACACACACACACACACACACACACAGACACACACACAAACACAGAATTCCAGAGCAGCTCTTCACTTGAGGGAGGTGGGTGGCAGGAAGGAGATGTAAACAACTCAGTGACTTGCCCAAAACCAGTTAAAAACAGAGCTACAAATTCTTTGTAGCATGAGATGAGGTGAGGTTTCTAACCCAGTATTTATAAAAAATTGACTTCACTTAATCACATATGCTGTTTTTGCCTAAGGACATATAATTTCAGAACAGCCTAAAGGTCTAAAAAGATATAATCAATAGCCTTGAAAATATTATTAGTTAGTATCCACAATAATTGAAATCAAGGCACAAGCACCATGTTTCAGGAAATGGAGCAAAGACTATTTAAATGATTTTGCTAAATGTTTTGGGCTAGCTTTTCAAAATTGCTAAATATTGTATTAATTATATTTTCTTATTTTCTATATTCTTGATGCTCCAACATCTGGGGCCTCCCTAAGGACACACTGCCTCTCCCAAAGCTGGCCAGTTCTTAGAGAAGCAAACAGCTTTTATACACAGACCAACCCAATCCAGAGTTCATACCTGAGCCACCTCTTTTATCTAGCTCTTATACTCTAGGAGGAAATATTCCCCTGCCCTACTCACACAAAGCCAGGTACTAGACAACTAGAGACAGCCTTTATGTCACAGAGCCCACTGAAATTATTCAAACTATCCAAATCCTAAACCTGCATAATCTGCCTCGCCCATTCCTTCCCATAGAAACCACAATAAAGGTTCATGCCCATGTTTCCCCCTCATTCTTTCTGCCTCTTGATGAACCCTGTGCTTTGCTATGTGGCCCTAAGTGGCATGCTGTTATATGCAATGTGCTGAGGTCCCAGGAAACCTCAGTGAGTTGTTTGTGGATTCCAACGAAATAACCTGGAGGACTGGTTGTGAAAGACATGAGTTTATTAGGACTTACGTGCACACACTGATAATGGGGAGGAGGGGGTGCTATTGTTTTGCCACCACCCAGACTTTCCCAACACAGATTTCATAGAGTACAGAAAACAGAGAAAAACAGGGCATGCGGGGGAAGGGGCACGTGCCTGTGTGAGTTCAA